TCTTAGCTATACCTTATCGCTGTTCACAGTTCACTCCGCTAGTGGCCACCACTGTGCAAAAAGCTTCTTCACATTTCAGTCGATACGATTGTAATTCTGTGGCAAGAAAAAGTGCAGAACCAAATAAATATTACAATTCTAAAGTTGTAATACACCCAAGTGTTCAATTAATTGATGGTTGTTAGTTTTTCCATTATAATATACAAAGGCACATCGGCTGGCAAACAATTAGGCAGCACATAATTAGGAGTCTATTTAAAGGGAATGAATGTGATGGGGAGTTTGGTCAAACTATGGCAGCGAGACAGCGAATAGTGGTCCTAAATCAAAGATGGCTGCGTCCGCGGAGCCAGTTAGTGTATGTGCACTATTTCATAATAGTGTCAGAATAGCTACGATGTCAAAAGATACAATTCTACAAAAATTTTGCCTGCCACGGGAGCAAATTCAGCAGCTTTTACATCTTGTTGGTCAAACTTTGTAGAGACAAACTTGACGGAGCTACCCCCTAAGCCCCGAAATTCAGCTGCTGGCGGCTCTCCGTTTTTATGCTGTGGGGAGTTTTCTGGAGGTGGTTGGGGATGGATATGGGCTGAGTAAGACCTCGGTGTGGCGGTGCGTTCACTCAGTCACAAACATCCTGCTCCGTCACGCCACCGATTATATAGCCTACGTATGCCTTTCACCAGGCACAAAGTGATGGAGGCACATCAAGGCTTCCATGCCATTGTGTGTGTCCCGTGAGTAATTGTCCTTGTGGACGGGACACTTATCCCCATCGCCAACCCATCAGAGCTCGACCAGGCCTTCATAATACAGGTGCATCTCAATAAATTAGAATGTCATGGAAAAGTTCATTTATTTCAGTAATTCAACTCAAATTGTGAAACTCGTATATTAAATAAATTTAATGCACACAGACTGAAGTAGTTTAAGTCTTTGGTTCTTTTAATTGTGATGATTTTGGCTCACATTTAACAAAAACCCACCAATTCACAATCTCAACAAATTAGAATACTTCATAAGACCAATAAAAAAAAAAACATTTTTAGTGAATTGTTGGCAATCTGTCTCACACTACACAAACTGTTGCATGTCATCCCGGACTACATATCCCATCATCCATTGCACTGATTGCACACAGCACTGATTGCACACAGCTGTAACCAATCACACATTCACTATATAACACTCACTCAGATCCCTTTCAAGGGCCGAGTATTGTATGCGCATATCACTAGTTGTGATAGCTACGTTATGGAGCCTGCTTTAGTTTCTTAGCCTAGTCTTGCCTTGCCTTGCCTTGTCTGTTTTCTCTGTTTCTGATCTTTGCCTGTGTACCTGGATTTATCCCT